TTTTCTGAAGCCGTCAGATCATTGATTCCTGCGTGGCTCATTGTAGTTCTCCCTGCTCTCATCATTGCCTTCCTCTGCCCCTCTGTCCCACCACTCTACATGCATTTGACTGCATCATACGTCACTCACAGCGAAATTGAATATAGATCGGCGCTTGATGGCTTTGTCAAAGTGGGAAATGAGCGATGAATGAAAATTACTGAGCAGCGCTGCAATGAATGTCAAAGTCTCATCCTTTCCAGCATTTTTAGTTTAAATCACAAAGGACCTCTCTAAATGTGCTTCAAATATGGCAGTGATCAAACGTCTAATGTTTGGCCTTCTTTGTCGCCACAGAAGCCCGGCGTGCATTAGATGATGTCTTGTCAGGACATGAGGTTATTGACTTTTTAAAAAAAATGCTGACCCACTGCAGAACTCCAGGGACCACATTAATTTTAAGGCCTATCATCATCTCAGACTTTGCTCCGCTCTGAAATTACCACAGCGGTGTCATCATCGGGAGCTAAACGCAGGAGCCTGGGAATTTATGTTTAAGGCTGATGCTCCTGGAACGAAGGAGTTTTTTATTAAACGAGTTTAGAATGAGAGTGTTAGAGCTGAGATCTCCAGAAGAAAAAGAGGTAGAAGTGTGTGCTTCGTGCTTAAGTAGACCCTCACATCAAGTCTTTTTGATTCGAGTTTTGATGTGAACAACAAAGTGAGATTGAGGGATTGATGATCTCAGAGAAGCAATATTTGACACAATCCACCTCATCCCCATTAAAATCCCTTTCTGCCGCTCGTAGGTTCTGTAAATCAGAGAGCTCTGAATCTCTGGGCGCAGGTGGCACTCACCCTGCAGTGGGGGCTCTACGGCAGCAGGCGGCCCACTCACGCTCCAGCTCGGGTCTGGCCAGACGTTCTGCTTCTGTTGCTGACCCCTCACCCAGTCAAAAACCCAGCCAGACCCAGACTGAATCCCGCTCCCAGAAACACAACAGGGTAAGTGCTAATTAACAGATCAAAGAGAATTTTCATACCTTCACATTTTCTACTAAAATTTGGGGTAAAATCTACACTAGCAAGTCATTAGAATTGGCACTATATTTGTTTATCATGTGAGATTAGGTCATTAGAGAGAGGTTAGAGTTTTAGATTAAATATTGGTTATAAATAGGTAAATATTGGGTATTTAATTGTTCATGCTTATTTTTCCATGCGGCCTTTTGCCGTCATCTATTGCTCACTTGAAAGATGATTGAATAACACTTTTACATGTCAAATCTCCAATTGAATATCTATTTTTTTTTCATACTGTACATAAAGTTGTGATGCCTAAATTCATTTGTAACATTTTAAAACGATTGATTTTAGTTTTTAGTGTTTTAGTTTTAGACAACAAATAGTAAAACAAAAACATGGGGAAATAGTACAAAGTAAATAATTAATTTACTATTTTAAAAACATCAATATACTATCAGCTAGCATCCCTTGAAGATATTTAAACATGGCAAAATGTGTTAAATAGAACTGAGAATACTTCCTAAATAAGTTTGTTTTCCAATAATGACTGACTACTGACTGCATTATCTTGCTTATAATATTACAACTTGACAAATAAATATATGACATGAAATATTGATTCAAGTGCTAAGAGATACATACAACTAGTACAGCTATGTAGGAAATTGGTTGCCAGGGCAGGGACAATGGTCAAATATTCAGTTTAAGGGTCATTATACCAAAATATCTGCCCACTAAATGCTGCAGTTTGACCAGTTAGAATCAAGTATTCCAGAGAGCCAAAATAGCTCTCAACCCATTTAAAACCTTAAATCTTCTTATTCAGGTAATTCACTACTACAGTCATCCGCAAATGTCAGGGCTTTATGTGAGGTCTGTCAGTGCAATAGATACGTGATTGTGCATCGTTCTCATCCGGTGTTTCTGCTTCAGATGCTGAGGGAGGTGGTTGCTAAGACGCTTGATAAACACGGGATCAGCAGTGAGCACAAGTGCTTTGAAGCCTGCAGTCAAAGACTGTTTGACATATCAAAGTTTTATCTGAAGGTGGGTACGAATCATTCTACCGCTTCCCCTCGCACCCTGCTGTCCTGCCTTTAGGACATCTTTGAAGCTCTCAAAATATGCTGTGTAAACGCTGCTGATTGATGTTATCTACATAATTTATCCATGACAGGGGAGCAAAAACTTAGTTCAAGAAACTTGTTTCAATTCGCTTTGTTCCTAAAGCATTTGGTGTGGAGAAAAAAAATATCAGTTTTATAGCCTTTGAATATTATTACGTGAAGTTATTCAAGGTTTTTTCATGCACAAAAATCATTCATAATTTGCTCAATTTATACAAGCTGGCTTTGCTACTGTACCTTTAAGACTACATTAGAAAAATGGCCTTTTGTTATTAAAGGCTAACCTACACTTACCAGCATCTTACTGTTGTTCATCAGGACAGCTCAAATCACTGAATACTGAATAGACATTGATATAAACATCAGTGGCTATAAGTGCTCATGGTTGTGACTGTTATAATCAGAAGTTTTTAAACAATCCATTTTTGATGTTTTGTTTCAGTAAATGAGTAGAATGAGGGAGCTTTATGTGAATACCTATTTAAATATATTTTAGAATGCAATTTCAACTTCAGTGTTACATGATCTTTCAGAAATAATTCTAATATACTGATTTGGTGAGACATCAAAAACACTTATCATCAATGTTGTAAAATGTTTTTGTGGAAACCTTGATACTTTCTTTTCAGGATTCTACGATGAATGGAAAGAAAATAATTGATTAGAAATAGGTCATTTTTGTTACCATTTAAATGTTCTTTACTGTTACTTTTGATCGATTTAATGCATACTTGAAAGTATTTTCTTTCGCACAAAAATCGTACTGACTCTTGAATTCTGAATGGTGTATGCATGCATAAATGTAATAAATCATTAGCAAAGCTTAGCTTCCACAATGTTCTTCATTAAGCCGTTATGCCTCAGCCGCCTGTTTGTTTTGCAACAGGATCTGAAAACCTCACGTGGCCTTCACGAGGAAATGAAGAAAGCAGCCAGTAACAATGTCAAACAGGTAAAGCACACACTTCACTGAGATGCCTGGTACACCGGAGTTGTTGAACATGACAATTTACAACTGTTATTTTATTTTGAGTGATTTGATTTTGTAATATGCCTTCAAAATTGTTACAATGTAATAGATTTCCACGCACACACTTTTCTCATCCACAGGTGATTGATTGGGTTGTGGAGAAATCTTCTAAAAGATGACCAGAATCATTTTCAGTCAGAAACGTTGAAGGTAAACCTGCAGCAGGATGTCATACGAACAACATGAGGCTACAAAATAAATGGTATAAGCTTGTAGAAAAGAGCTTCTAATGCTATAGAACTTCTCACAGCGTTAATCATGGAAATGTTCCTGACAGGAGGCATGTACATAATTATGTTTTTGTTGTTTTTTATGTATTTGTAATAATCATAGATTTTAATGTATTAAAAAGTTGTTTTTATATGCTTTTCACTAGAAAAGAAATGCAGTGAACTCTCAAACAGTCTGACAAACAACAGCCAAATCTGGCTGCATGTTTTCCGAGAAACACTGTTTTGCATCATGAAAATCAGTCAGAGGGCGTTTCTGACCAGATCACATTTCAGTAATCAGAGTTCACTCAAATCACCACTCGAGCATGGAACAAGGAACACATGAAACTTCCAAAACCTCATCATGCCCTCTGATTACCACGTCTTTTTGTTTATCACACACAAGCTATCGGCGCTAAACCTCCACTGCACAGATCTCCAAGTAGTTTGCCCCAAAACGACTGCTGTGTTGGGATCAAAAGGTCACACTGGGCTGAGGTCATAAAGAGTATTTGCTCCCTGGTACTCCTTGCCCAGAGAAGGTTGAGGGTGTCTCATTTGGCAAAGTTGCCGGACACATTCCAGTCCCACACAGGGCCATTGTTCTCACTTCTGGGTGCCCAGAGGGGTGATGGGAAAGGAGGGAGGGGGTTGCACATTACATTGGCAGCCCTGAGAGCCCTCGAAGGCAACATGCAATCTGAACTCACTCGCTACTTATCAACAGAGCTGCTCTAGTTAATAGGGTGGAACTCAATGTTATGATAGTGAATAATAAAACAGATTCTTTTAATAGGGTTTCTGTTTATTTCGATACATTGTGATACTCTTTTCCCCAGTATTTTGACCTGTGTGGGTGAACTCTATTAAACTGCCGACTGACAAGAAGCTTTTTTTCTACAGTGTTTTTACTTGATATAAAAAGGGTTCCTTATCATGAGGAATAAAATTTTCCTTTTATCCTTTCATAAGAGTTCATTGCACTATGAAAACATGCTGTCATTTTCCTTCTGCTGTCCAAACTTCCTCCCAGTGACCATTTATTGAAACTTAAGCTGAAAATGAGGAAGTATAAATAACGTTATTGTTCCTAAACAGTAGAAGTAATGAGTCGGTCAAAGCTTGTGCCGCTCCTGGACGTGTGTAGAACCTGCTGATGGAGAATCTAAATACTAAAATGTATTTAATTCACACCATCATTTACTCATTCTCTTATCATTCCAAAATGTTGAAGAATGTTTTTGTCCACATTATTGAAGTCAATGGAGTCCAAATATATCACAATATTTGGATTTGCATTGACCAGTGTTTTAATTTGTTTAAGAATGAATCATGCGGAGTATTAAAATCGCTTCAGTAGACCTAAATAAGTCGTATGTATTAAAGGCCGTTTACACCATGTCAAATTTACAGTAATTACGAGATTCCTGACTTGTAAAGAGCATTTACATCCTAGAACTTGTAATTACAGCTTGAAAGCTCTGACTTGTACCACCTGACCACTATCACGTCATGTGGAAAAACAATGCCAGCTGCCTCAGCAATAAAATGTAGTTATTACATAATATTTGTTTAAATTTGTAAGTATTTATTATTAATAACTATATTCATGTTGACGTACAATAGTTTAGTCAAGCAAGCACAAAGTTTATTAATCTAATGTTACACTACATAAATTATGTTTAACAAAGGCATTTGCATAACAACTGTTATTTGTATTGTGGTTTTGTCTTTTGAGTACTCAAAATCTCAGCAAACTCAGATTCACTTTGCCGTTAACAGTGTTGCCATACAAATGCACAATTTTGAGTCTGAGTATGTTCCAGCATGCCATCTAGTAATTATGGCATGACCACAGCATAACTTCACACTATGCCCTTATGGAGCTTGATAGTCTTGGACTTTCAAAATGTAATTGACTCTCATAATTCAAACAGAATCATTCTTCAAATTCATTATCTTTTGTGTTCCAATCGAGTTTGTAATGACACGAGGGTGAGAAAATGACAGGAATTTAATTTCAGAATGAAATATCCCTTTACTGTCGAAAGCAGGTTCCCAGGCCCGTGACTCCTGGATCTGTCATGTGCGCTGGAATGTGGCAGGGACGGTTTCACAGATGAGACAAAGGCTGTGCCACAGGGGCCCTACTGTCCCCAAACACATGACCCCCACAATGGAGCAGTGCTCTGGGAACGCTCAGTGCCCGACAATGGACACTAATTGCTGGTTAACTTGGAAATTCTCGAGTACTCTAATTTATAATCTGACATCTGAAGTACTTGAATGGCCTTTGTGTTTGTATATGACCATAGGCCACCGAGAGCGAATCTGAGCACCCACAATAGGTGTGCTAACGTACATGCATGCACATCACGCAATAATTGAGAACATTCTTCTGATGAATATTAAAAAACAACTACACAAATGTGGCAGCGATTCTAAAGTTTCCTCTTGCATGTCACAGGTTTGTACAGCAGTACTCCCGATTTTGGAAGCGAAACGTTCGTTAAAGTCACCGAAACTCCATTTGTCTGTGGAAACAGATACACTGTTCTGAAGGGGAGGGCTGACCCTGTCTCGATTTTCCCCTTTTGTCACAAAGGCCTTGTGAAAGCAGACAGTTTGTTGACATGCCTCTTTGATGACCGGCACTCTAGAATGTCCTTGTTGATTCTGCTCAACCATCGGTGCATTGCATTTCCCGAGTGAAAGCACCAGAAACTAAACGAGATGTTTTAACTTTTATGTGCATTAACAGGGTTTAAACTAGCCTTTCTTTAATCCACATTAGCTGCCAGAGAGATGCAATAACTCAGACAGCTGTCATACAGATGGCCGCCTTCCCTAGCGTTATATAGAAGTTAATGGTACTGTAAGTGCTGAATACTCTGCTGTATTGGATTCTAAAATAATACTTCCAGTTCCAATCACAAGCTAGTGTTCATTATATAGTTTGATTTTTTTTTCTCTCTTAGAAAATCAATGTGAAATTGTATTTCACTATAATTAATATTTCTCTGAAAAATACATAGTTTATCATTACTGAAATGCAATTAAAATCATTCAGAGGTCTGCTACAGCGTGAGTTCTGCATCATCGTCCTCACTCAGTCTTGCGGGTTCCACCTCGTTCTGGATTTCCCTTCTCAGTGTTGAAATAATCACGTCACTGTTTCAGTCTATGACAGTTCAGTCTCAGGCTACCAATCCTAATCTTGCAATCTTGGCTGATAGGAAGGAGTGGAGGATAAAAACAATAGGCTTGGGACAGGAGTGCAAGTCCAGTTGCTGTGAATGAAAAAAAAAAAAAAACAAGGTACTGTATTAAGCAGTGAAGGGAAGTTCCTGATGTGACAAACACATGTTGTGAGCAACAATCGGGCAGATCTTCTCAGGAACTTAGATCTATCAGTACAGACATGCATCATTTCCTGCTCTCAAGAATTCCTCCTATGGATGATATACACATTAAGCCTGTCAATTTAATGCATTAATTTAATTCATTTTTTATTAATTATTGAAGCCTAGAAGTGTAATAAATGGTGAATCAAATAAAAAAATTCTAAAGGTACTTGTTTTAATGTCTATTTTATGCTTTTCTCATTTAACACAATAATGACTTTAAATTATCTTTTGGGGGTTAATTCTTTTACCAAAATTAATGTGTGAACATTTTGCGATTAATTAGGTTAATCCCCGTCGTATAATGTATCACTTGACAGCCCTAATATATATATACTGTGTGTGTGTGTGTGTGTATATAAACAGCAATATTTATTTATATATTTTTAATAAACATGTAAAATGCCACACTAAGACGTCCATCAACATTTACTAATGATGCAAATGATTCACTGAAATCAGATTCATTTTGTTATGAATCAGTTCAATGAAGCTAAATAAATGATTAGATCAGTAGTTAATTATCGTTTTATTTTTTAATCTGACTTAATAGCAAAACGCAGCACTCTCAGCATGGATGATTAATTTTGTTGCTGCTGAATGAACCTCAGATTTTACTCACAATTTCACCCTCGTTTCCACCAAAATCCAGATAGAGGATCCGTACGCCGTCGTCAGCAGACATCTTCAGCTTTTCAAACGGGTAGCTGAAAAGTGTCTGTGCCACAGAGCTGTCGTCTCCATCTGCTATGACAGAGAAGCCTTGCTCATAGTGAATGACCAACCGACAGTCCTGACCCTGATACATACAACCTTGAGGAACAGAAACACGGAAGCTTTAAAGAATATTACAAATTCAGTACAGCTGTCAAAACTATGATTAACATAAAAAAATTAGGGCTGTCAAACGATTAATCACGATTAATCGCATCCAAAATAAAAGTTTGTGTTTACATAATATATGTGTGTGTACTGTGTATAATTATTTTGTATATAAATGCACACATGTATATATTTAAGAAAAATATGTTATTTAAATATAAAATGTTTATATAAAATATACATTATATATAGGCTACCATATACATGCAAATATTTCTTAAATACACATGCATGTGTGGGTATTTATGTATTAAAAATAATTATACACAGTACACACACATATATTATGTGTAAACAAAGTTTTATTTTGGATGCGATTAATCGTTTGACAGCCCTAGAAAAATATATATATATATATATACTGTATATATATATATCACTATATAATATACAGTAGTCAACATTTTAAGTGGATCAAAAGTTATACATGAATTTTGAACAATACCCGTTCTTAGGACAACTTTGATGAACTTTTTTTATCCACTTTATGTATATATATATATATACACTCACCGGCCACTTTATTAGGTACACCTGTCCAACTGCTCGTTAACACTTAATTTCTAAGCAGCCAATCACATGGTGGCAACTCAGTGCATTTAGGCATGTAGACATGGTCAAGACAATCTCCTGCAGTTCAAACCGAGCATCAGTATGGGGAAGAAAGGTGATTTGAGTGACTTTGAACGTGGCATGATTGTTGGTGCCAGAAGGGCTGGTCTGAGTATTTCAGAAACTGCTAATCTACTGGGATTTTCACGCACAACCATCTCTAGGGTTTACAGAGAATGGTCCGAAAAAGAAAAAAACATCCAGTGAGCGGCAGTTCTGTGGGCGGAAACTCCCTGAGGAATGCTTCCAGCACCTTGTTGAATCTATGCCACGAAGAATTGAGGCAGTTCTGAAGGCAAAAGGGGGTCCAACCCGTTACTAGCATGGGGTACCTAATAAAGTGGCCGGTGAGTGTATATTCGGACTTGTCATACCAGAGGGTTATAAAGCAGAAAAGTGAAGTTCATACTATTTTAAAACACTTTCAAAGATACAAAATCTTTGAAATTGTCCAAATCCTTTTGAGGTGTGACTACTTTATTTGGTGGATGAAAATTGGCCCCACCTCAACTTTACAGTTCTAATAATAAACATTTTACTGAATTATTCATGCAGATGCTTTCACATCTTCTAGAAATATATTTTTCAAGTACTATAAAAAAAAAGAGATAAAGTATTAATGATTTGAACTGCCTTTCTGGTTGGTCAATCCAAGCAAATTTCATTAAGGTATGAATAAAATGGAAGTGTATTCCATCTGTGAGATGAATGTCCTTTGAATCCTGATAATTGGTACATCATTTATCACCAGTAATCTCGGCTCAATACCTCCCTAGTTCCATCAAATACATCACAGGACTCCATGCATCTAGTATCACTCCTCCAGTCCATTCAATTACAGCTCATCAGGCACCACAGGATGTGTAGAAACCTACTGTTACCATGTCTATTGTGAGCGTGCCAGAGATCCACTTCTGCTGTTCCCTTCATTTGCCCCAATAAAGCTTCCTGAATCGCTCTTTGACCGGGTAATTGCAAGGCTAGTGTGTTCTTTTCACATTGTGTATCTCTGAGAAACCCCTTGGCTCTGGCTACAACCCAGTCCATTAGGCTGATTAGATCATCACAGCAATAAAAAAGCATCTTCTTCTGCAATTTACCCATTAAATCTGAATTAAACTGACATTAAATACTCAAACACCTATTAATCACTTACTTTGGGTGAGGGGGCCGATTTCGGAATACTGTTCCCATGTCACTCTTAACTATACTGTAACCTTATCCCCATCCAGACGGCTTGATCTTCAGGACTGAGGGACTCTTTCCCACCAGATGGGCTTTTTAGGCACAAACTGCATCCTTTTTAACATGAATGGACTAGCATAGGAATTTTTCTGCTTTTTAACTACAGCTTTGCAATAAAGGCTGTCCACGCGAAATACTTCAAGCGAAATCGAAGAACTGTTTGGTTTAAAGTAATCTATTGTATAAAGTTGTATAAACATGACTTTACTTGACTGGAGTGCCAAATTCCAGAGCTTGTGCAAACATCCTCATCTCTATGATCAGATGCTTTCTTAACTGCTGTTTTCTCACCGCTGTCATTTTTAATGCGTGTTTATTTTGTTATTGCGAGGAAAGCGCATACATATTTACATATTCATGATCCTAACGTCGCTCTCAGGAGCGTGGACAGCATCGGGATGTTCGCTAACAGTAAACAGCTGCAAAGGTATTTCCAACTTATTTTTACCCCCTAACGAAAGAAATAGAACTTCGCTATGAGTATATCGGGCCATTCATTCAGTAATTGAACTGCAAGTGTTTCTCATGTGCCTATGCAGGCTTATCTTTTCCAAATCATGAATAATAACACATTTACTTTAACACTTTTAGTCTGTGTGCAATGTGCTTTACAAAGCATAAACATGAAAGTACATCTAAATAAGAAAATCTGTGATTAGAGTCATTGTGGGCCCCTCAAATTAATAAAGCAATGTGGAAAGCACGACAGACACAATGTTACAATTTTTATGGAAATCAATGGCTTACCTATAGTTGTCTAATTACTTTATTAATATGTATTTATTAATTCATTTTTATTAGTATTTGTATTTTATATATATATATATATATATATATATATATATATATATATATATATATATATATATATATATATATATATATATATATATATGTATTAAATGATATTTTAAAAGCAAAAACGTGAAATACATTAAGGGTATGTTTACATAACAATGATGTTCTAAAAAAAACGAAAACGTTTTTCCTTTGCATTTTTTTGCGTACAGACGACAATATTGTCAAAATGGTCCCGTTCACACGGATCCGCAAAAATGATTAAAAAAAAAATACTGTATTATGCTGGCAGGCCATTAGTTGGCGATATAAAAAAAAAACTGCATGCCTATAGACTGAACACTTACTACACATGTGCGTTTCACATTTTTGTTTACTCGGAGACGATAACGGTATCATTTTCAAAAACTTGCACTTTGAAACCCGTTTTTTTTTTTTTTTTTTCAGACACCCAAAATGGTGTCATGTAAACAGCCCCTGAGCTTTAACAGCCAGATTACTAAACATTTTTTTATACCCATCCACACAGAGAATACCATAAATCTATGGGGAACCACAATTAATGGGTTGTCGAATAACAAATAAAACTAGTAATAACAAAACAGTATTACATTCTCAATTGGCCTTGGGCTATATATATATATTATATATATATATATATTTTTTTTTGTGACTTTTTATCATTACAGCCTGAAAAAGGATTATGAAGCTTGTGGCCAACTATAAAAGTAATATATGACGTCACTGAATTTTTACAGAACCTTAAGAAAATTAATCTTTGGAGACACTAACTCCCTGAACAGATTACAAGATTAGACTAAACACAGGTAATGGAGCATCAGCTGCCAAATGGGCCTTTCCCATAAAATCCCAAATATGGAGCAGCTTCTGACGCAAATTGAATCTTTTTAAGGGAAGAAAAATGCCACGTCCAGTCTAACTTGTTATATGGCGTGATAAAAGCGGTCTGGTTTGTTTTGAGAGGATCTGCATCTGTTGCTTTCTCCTACAAACTCAAAGTAATTAATGTTCTCCCAAATGTATTAATTAGTGATTCTGGCATGTTGTAACAAGGTCAGTCTATTTTTGTTGTGTTTCTTTCAGTAGATTTTTCCAGAGTACCTCTTCCTACACCAATGCTAACGTGCTTAACTCGTGACAGTAAAATCAACATTAATCATTGCTCAGTTTAATCTCTGTCTACTTGCCATCCTAGCATTGTAGGTTAAGTGGAAATTATCTCAAAGCCTGATCTCAGAACATATGAAAATGTCTGACAGAAGGGGAAAACCGCGAGATATCCAAATAAGGCGCGGTGATCTCCAGGGGCTCGCATTCGGCTCAGCAACGACGGATCATTTCCTATCAGTCTAGCCTAAGGGACTGCCTGAGAGCTTCAATTCCCAGAATGCTTTGCTCGGTGCCCCTCGCCTGCTGCATTGAGACCACACAGGAACTCTGCCATGGCATTCCATTCTAAAAATACACTCTTTACCAAAACGACTTCAGTATAAATAACATACATCCAAAAGTCAGAAATATTGTAGTGCAGCACAGAGCGTTTGGGAATTCAGAGTACAGTAGGAGCCACCGACCATGACATCGGACGGCAGAGACACATTTATCTAGACACAAATCTACATTTGACTCAAGTATGAGTATAATTTTTAAGAAACTATAGCTGAAAAACTACTGTAAAAAGAGAAAGTTGGATAAAAGAAATTGCAAAATGAAATCATTCACTTATTGTAAAGTTCGAGACTAATGCTAACTGAAACTGAAAACAGGTGAAAAAAATTATACAAATGTGTAAAATATTTCACTCTGATGCAGAAAATTGGGGTCATTCATCCAAACAAGTTTGAATATCTGAATACCGGTACATTTTTTTTGTAAATAAATGACAAATAATCCTGGTAAAGAAATGGCAAATAATCCTGGTACAATAGACCACTTCAAAAGATGCGGTTTCATTTTAAAACCTCATTGTGCATGTTATGCGGAGAATTATTCCTAGCTGTGAATAGGTCATAAGACGTGAGAAAGGAGCAAGAAGTAGGATCCATACTCACTGGTAGTGACTTCTTTGATCATCTCGGCAGATGCGTGGCAGCCAGTGACTATGTGTCTGGTCCAGAGTGACAGGTTCTTGCCCGTCTCTGCTCTGAAGAGATGGGCTTCGATACCCAATCTGGTTCCCGTTCGTGTAGCAAAGCACAACTCGCCACCAGGCTGTGGTGAACCCTTATCTGGACCAGAATGTACCAGCCTATGATCAAAAAAACTCAACATGAGAGATTTGTTTTCCTGTTGTATCTTCTCAAAGGCCTCCAAACCCAAGCTCCACCCCCTCCATATTCCTTTAAAGCAGGGCTTCTCAAAGTGGGGTCCGCGAAATAAATTTAGGGCCCTATGATTTCCGACGGAAAATTGCGGAATCAAGTCATAAAAATGGAATTTGCAGTATAACGTGGTATGTCACAGAATTTGGCAAATTCTGGATGAATAAATCAAAAGTAGGCCCGTACACTTAATCAAACTGTGACATGGACTAGCGTCTGTGAATAGACTGCTCAAAAACACTGCTATTTTAATATGAAGTATTAATCTAGATTAATCGAAGAAATAATCTGCCAATAATCAGCTCTACTATTAAGTACAGTCTTGTTCCTTTGTCTTTTTGTTCAATCAAAGTTTGCAATGTTGTGAATGATTCACCTCGTAGCTGGTTGGTTTGGTTTATGGCTTATGATTTCTTAATGAAGAGTTTTTTTTTTAATCCCTATGGGAAAAATACTTGCAGAACCAAGGCCACTGAAAAAGTGGACGGGCACTGTCGCTTTCTATATACTGGCGTGGGATTTAGTTCAATGAGTTTTCACTGTTTGCGGGGCTGACCGGCTTGACAGAAACTTGAGATTTCACAGAGGAAGTCGAGCCAAAATAAGTTTTGAAAAGTTTTTAGAAAAAGCACAGCTATACTTTCCGCCATTTTGGACAATCTCAGGGTCAACAAAATATTAACACATGCCAACTGAGCCTGTGATAACTGCCCTATCAGCCCTAGAGTGAAATCTGGGCTGCAGTCCAGTTAAACTTGGCCTTCAAATCTATCCCTTGTAGCAATAGCTGCCGCCTCATACAGCTTCAACAGGCCTTTAATAGCCGTAATGCTTTTGTACTGTTTCTTTCCAACTGGCTGAGAAAGACTGCAGTTGTGTATTTCAGTTCCCAATTGATCAGCACTGCCAACTGCCATGCAAAAAGTGTGAGTGTTTGCATGTGTGTGTGTACAGAGAGTTTTGCAGGTGTGTATACCATGATTGGTTTTCCAAAGGTGTGTTTGTATGAATGAACGAGCAAAAAGACAGCCGTAACGCTGTGTGTGAGTGTGTACCGTGTGGCGAGCAGAGGGTAGGTGTGTGTCGGGCTGAGCCAGTGTTCTCTCATGCGTGGCATGCTGTCAAACAGCAGCAGGTCTTTCTCCGTCAACATCACGAGCACCGGCTTCCAGCGCTGTCTTTCACTTTCCGTCTGAAACACACAAACACACACCCTGAGTAAAGTTAACATGAATTCAAAAGAAACCCCATTTATTTTCTTAATGGAAGTTCCTGTTCCTCATGTATAAAGCTTTGCCTGAAAGTATGAACACACAAAAGTTTTCAGATATACAAGACCTATTCATAGTTCACTTTATTTATCCCAGTTAGGGGGAGATTGCGGGCACATCCTCGAAACAGCCATACATCCTGATTTTGCCGAGTTAGATGTGTTCCTGGGTCAACATATTTTGTTGATCCTGGAACAACATTCCAGTCCGAAAGTGTAATCATAACCATATCCCTAACCCTAAACCTAACCCTACCCATAAGCTACCCCTAAAATCAGAGGGCAATGATAGATGAATAACACTGATGTAGAAGCACCAAACCCTGGTAGTAAACCTAAACTTGACAAACCATAAACTTGTCCCTCAAATCTGTTCCAGGATCAACAAAGATGTTGATCTAGGAACATGTTGTACTTGATAAAATCAGGTTTGGCGGTTCACACAATGGCTTTGCAATCATTCATAAACTCTTCAGCACATAATTTACATACTGTATGCAAAGCATCTTTGTTTTCTATTAGCATTCTAAAAAACAAGATCAAGAGAAGCAAAACCTTACGACACCTTGCAAATAAGTGTATTATTCTAACCTCGCAGGAAAATAGGTTCTACTTTAAGAGTAACCTAAATCAAGCGTAGCGTTAGTTCTGGCAGGTCAAGTTATCAAGTTAGTCAAGCTCGCATCAGCTGATCCACGTCTTCCTATAGGAATACAACGCCTATCACAGCATCCATGTATAAGTTCCTTCAGTATTATCAGCAGCTATCCCGTTTCTCAGGAGCGAATTACCCTCCTCCATCCCCAGCTTCTCCTCTCGTGCAGTCTGTATTTGGCATTCTGATTCCCCTTGAATCAGACTAATTTCTTTAATTATGTTGTACATTAAAATATTGACATTAATGATATCTGCAACACAATCATGTTGGTTCTGTTCTGTTTAACCTAAGGGGTGTTATCGCTGCTCTCCCTGCTCTTATCCATGCTAGGCTACAGAACCATACCGCCCAGAACAGAACCATACCGCCAATCCTAACTGTATGCTAATAATTGTCAGTCGTATTTGACGATAGTGTTCCTGACAGAACTTGCGATTATTATTGCTTTTCTCCGCTTCTGCATCTCTGATCACACAGAGAAGTTTCAGAGGCTGTGCTTACTTAGACAAACTGCTTTCTCATTATTTGACCTTTGAGACATTATATGAACGAAAAAGCATGCAAATAAAAAATGATGACGAAGTATTATGACAATGCAATATTATGAGGAAAACAATGCCAATATATTACTATGATTGTATCAACCCTGTCTTACTTTGAATGATTCATCCATACACGTTATTCCAGATAAACAAATGTTTGTCCTCATCATCTTTAATGAAATTATAATAACTTGCTTTGCCTCTGAAATGACTTCCCTTTCCGGGTGACTTCACAAATCCCTCTTACTTTCACCCCTCCCCTCCAACCACCACTCTGTTGAGAAACACCCACTTAACATGATCCAATCATTTCCAGGAGAATAAAATTAAGCCCCACTCAAAAATATTTTCACACTGAAAATTGTTTCACTCTGAAATCCATCACATTACAGAAGTGAGATTTGAATGACATTCCACGCTGACTTTAATAAGCTCAAAAGTAAACCTGCGCTACAATTGAGTAATAGTTCCAAATGTTGTCCAAATAAGACCTTAAGTTGAGCCTTAATGTGATTTACTGCTGAAGCTCTCGTCTATGGCAGATGTCTCCTCAGGGCTTTGATAGCCTGACAGACCACTCAAATCTCACAAATCACAGGGTCAGTTTGTCTTAAGGCTAAAAAGAGACCCCGGCCAGCGGGGCCGAGTGCATCAGAAGCAGATGCGCAACCACAAACAGGCCCTTGTTATAAGCACAAAAAAAATCTGCTCGCTGTCTGAGGGCATTCAGCACACTGGTTTTTTCCTCATATAATTATTCATCAAGGGGCCGGCAGGTTGGTAATAGGAGACGGAACGAGTGAGCTCTCATTAAAGGGCAGGCTGAGAGTGGGCTGCCCACAGCCCTGCCATCACTGCAGTTCTCTATTAGCCGGCCCAGCCAGGCCTCAGCTAATGAGACGGCGATGAAAAGAAGATTTAATAGGGAGGAAAAACCTGCGGTCACACAGAGAAGAGTCATCCTCCATCAATCGCGCCAGTACCCGCTCACCACGATTTCTGAGAATTTTTAGAAGAAGAAAAAAAAACTTTTCAGAGGAACTGTCTGTACAGTTTTGAGAATGTTAGCCCTGTTTACAACCAGAGTGTATGGTATAACCTGGGACCTGCTAACATGTTTGTGAATTTTTTTTTTTTAAGAAAATCTCAGTTTTCCACACAGTTATTATTATCATGACAGGAACATTTTACCGTGGAACACTTACATCAAACCAAAGACCTTGAGCTAATGCTGGGTTTTATGTAAGATATCCTTATGGGTCTAGAAGACAGTTTACTTTTACTTAAATTTGGGTAACCTTTTCCGTATCATACAGCTAAATGACACGCAGAAGAGTTACATTTTCATGCCACGCAGATTCTTTCATAAGCAGGAATATCATGAAGCTGAATTGATGTGCGCTTATATGCAGTTGGACAGTTGAAACGGGCTGGTGACATCACAAGCTCAATGCAAAAATAATTTAACATTTACCATATGATCAATGTTTTTTCTGGCATGGTAATGGATGACAATGTTGATATGTTTGGTCTTGGTTGAATAGATCTGCTACGCTGCTGTTGGTTATTGCTGCTGATTTAGTACAGAACTTGCTACTGCTAAATCATATATGACACGCTGCTGTGAGCAAGTAAGACATGATGCTGCTGCTGTACAACTTGGATGCATGAATTACCAGTAGCAGATCTATACAGGTGGAGCTGGGGAAGGTGGAGGGTTTCTGAAAGCCTGCTGCACTGCTAAGGCAAATGCTGACCAAGGGCCCTATTTTAACGATCTGAAACGCAAGTGTCAAAGCGCAAAGCGCAAGTAACTTTGTGGGCGGATCCCGGCGCTGTTGATATTTTCCCGGCGGGATAAATGCCTCTTGCGCCTGGCGCAAATCTAAAAGGGGTTGGTCTGAAGTAGCTTCATTATTCATAGGTGTGGTTTGGGCGTAACGTGAAATAAACCAATCAGAGCGTCATCTCACATTCCCTTTAAGAGCAGGCGCGCTTGTTCTAAAGCGGATTCCTATTATAACGGCGGATTTACCAGGCGCGCGCCAGGAGCGGTTCACAGCCGAGGAGAGCAACGTTCTCGTCAGGGCCGTAAAACACAGAGAAGTGACATTGGGGATGGAGAAACCCACCCAAATTAACTTCTGTTAAACAAGCGTATAATAATTTGGGTAAATGTGTAAGCTACATGTATGCTTTTATAATAAATTGTCTATCTATCTATCTATCTATCTATCTATCTATCTATCTATCTATCTATCGTAATAATGTATGATTTGCAAAAATGAAAACTGCTGCTTAGATGAGAGAATCGTATGCGCGTTGTGCACCCGCTACATTATGGCCAAACATGCGCGCTTAAAATAGCATAATGAACAACGCGCAACGCGCCACTGACTTTAGACTAGTTTTTTTCTGGTCAGTGGCGCAATTGTTTTATAGAACAGCAAAATAACATGAGGGAAAGTTTGCGCCGGAACACGCCTCCTCTTTGCGCTGAACCGCCCCGGGGAGCGCAAGTGTATTTCTTAGTTAACTGACGTGCATCTGTGGAGGGAAAAGCCCGCTTTGCGCGGGTGCAAAATAGGAATGATACATGCGTCAGTGTACAAAGTCATTTGCGCCGAGTGCAAGATAGGGCCCCAAGTATTTTAAGGTTGAGCAGTGAGCTCATTGGCTACTGATATAGCAGGAACCAATCAGCTGTGCCCTATAGAGAAAGATGTGATTGCGATCAGCCTGCGCCATCTAGAGTTTCATGACAGAACTTTGTTTTGCGAAGCCTCACTGTGAAAGTCAATAGCACAAGTACATTCATTATACTGTTTAAGATCATCATATTTAAATTGCATTCATCAAATTGAATTGAATCGATTCTCCACCTTTTCCGCTAGCCAGCCGAGGTATCGGATCTCTCGACTCCCGGCGATGCTGTGGCGGCCGGCGTGTTCTCGGAGTTCGCTGATGACTTTGCTGGTGAGGTTTGTGATGGCAGTTTGCATGAGAGTGAACCAGGTCTGGGCAGAGGCTGTGTCTGTATGCCTCATGACTATTGTGTGCTTAGCATCAGAGGAGTGCAGCTCCATCTGCCTGAAACACAAGAAGAAATACAATTCAGCTTCTGTTTTAATCTAAATCCAGAGTTCACTGGTCAAGCTAAGGGGTTACTAATAGTTCAACCATTCAACCATTTTGTCATTATTTACTTACTGCAAGTCTGTTGCAAAACATGAATAAGTTAGGCAGATGATAGTTTTAAAAATATGAATAAGCAGGTTTGTTTAAAATATTTTTTTAAATAAAAATAATAATAAAAAAGACAAAAACTACTTTGAAGAAAAAAAAAATCCCCTCATACCATCAGTACAGTTGTATTACCCTGACATAGTGACTTTATGCCCTCAAAAAAAGCTAACTTAATCTTAAATAAGAAATTTAAAAACATGCTCATTATAGAAGAGGTGCATTTAAGTCAATGTATGTATTAATTGCATTTTTAAAGTATTTTTGAAAAAATAGATCTAGATACAGGATGTTTGCCTGAATGAGAGCAACAGATAGAAAAGAATAACTACTGCTATAAAATGAAATATAGTAGAGTTGAATGAGTTATTACAGAACCGACTACACGCAATGACATTTGACAACATTTACTTAAACACGAGCCATCTGAGTTGATTTAAAGACGGCAGCCAGTGCTAAAAAGAGCTCTGGAGTCAACATTAACCACCAGAATACCAGATACACCAGGTTTAAACAGAACCATACATCACTTCTGTTCAGGGAGTTTACAGTGATAAATACTCCACTCATACATCATCTAGAGTAAAAGTCTTAACCTTACACTCCACAATATCATTTTCAGGTGCACCGTGTAGGTAAAAATAGATCTTGAAGACAGAGAGTTTGGAGGGGCTTAGGGGGCAGGGCACAGATGGAGCTGATGTGTTTGCAGTAGACTGGAGGAAAGAGCGTTTTGGATGAGGCCCAATGAGTTCTGCCCTTTAAGACTATAATTGGGAGAATTTCACAACTAATGGAGATGCCCGTGTCCAATTTAGGAAGTGAATGTTTCAATTCCTTTTGTGGTCAAATGAGATCTCTCTTAGGTATTAAGCAGACCTCAGAAAGTTAACCTTACAATTCAACCCCAGAGAACTTATGCCATGTTTTGTTTACATAGAAGTGTCAATGATAGGGCCAAACCTAGTTCTTGGTTCAAGTAATTGTAGAGAGGAAATGTGCAGGTCCAGACAGATAAGGGAAAAAACTGAAATGTAAAAAATAAAAAGTAATAGTTTTATTTTTGGCCACTTTTTTGTATCTAGGAGGGCCTGCCCATCTGTGAGGGCAAACATCCTTGTTATCATAGTTACTTATTGTTTTCTAAGACAAATCAATAGAACTATCCAATGGATTTTATTTTAAATATATGCGTGGATGACTTTTTTGAGAGGTCACTGATTTAAAAAGTGGATGTTAGTGAAGAAACAGCTCTACGTACATTCTGGAATACATTATTTCTATGCAGAGATGCTTGAAAGAGTCAATAACAGTGAAGTCTGAGCCTTTCACTGAAATGGCCAGAGACAGAGTGGAAAATGGTCACATATTACTAAATTATGACTACTAAAAAAATACTATGACTACTAATTAGTAAAGAAAACACATTAGTGGATATTTGGAAAAGATTAGATTGGTATTAGGGGTTCTAATCTTAAGGCACCTCACAATCAGATACGACTGAACAATTATCGATCTACATTTTTATTATTAATTAAAGAGTTTACTGAGACAATAGAATTTTTGACTTATTTTCATACAACTTATTTTTCTCTTAAAGCTTCTTTAATTCAATTGACTTTACAAAATTTAAAATTATTCGAAGTGCAAAAACCAAACACAAACTTTGGATTTTTTCTCATAGGAATGAATGAGTAACGCTTATGTCAGAGCATGTGTGCCACAACTAGGCCATCTCTAACAAAAATGTATTCACTTTTTAATTAATCATTTTGGGAGAACGCTCTTCTATTTACCATCAACATCCCAATTAATGAGTCAAAGAGGACAAAACGAAGAAGATGAACTAAATTTAGATGGTCTCCAAACACAATGACCAAACCAAACAAGAGCAAGAGTAACACAAGACAGATGGAAAGGTCACTGACACATCTGGCGTGGAGGAACATCTCCATACCCCAAACCTCCAGCTACTCTAACTTCCACCAAAACAACTCCAGTTACAGATCCACTCTGGACCATCAGAACGCCCAACAGTCCAAAGAAATGACAATAGTGGAAGGGGGCACATTCAATTTTTTTCCAGATGGATTTTGTTTAGGAATTTGACAGGAATCCTCTCACAGTGTGGCACTTGAGGTAAGCCATGAATGTCTGCAGAGTTGATAGAGCTCCGCATGAGCACCACAGTGATGGATGGGCTAAAAGACATGGGACACAATGGTGTAAATTGAAAACAGAGCTGGAGGGTGTGAGCTGCAGAGCTCCTTACTGACATGCCGCATGGCAGGAGTGAAGTCTGTTCGTCTGTCAGTTTATCTCACCATCAGTCTGGCCACGCCACATATTTAAGCAATATCTTATGAGCAGTGCTGTTGTACTGAATAATAACAGGGCTGTGATTCCTCTGAAAGCATTCAGTAAAGCAAAAGTGATATTGCGTGATTTCATTTCATCATAACATTATAGTAAATATCAGCATTATTAGAACACCACTTGTCGTAAAGGGTACAATATAGTACAACATAGTGACAAAAATAAATAAGGGTATGGTCACATAAATTTGCTATGCATTTCAATGGAACCTGCAAGTTTTGAGTGAGCGCAAAAAAATTCCCCAAATGGATTTTGCACTGGGTTCAAATTGGTTATACACTGATAAAAATGATTTTGTGGTGAAATAAATACTACAGAAAAAACAAATGTTATTTCTACATGAAAAAGTTAGTTCAGGCAAGAATAAAAAAAAAAAAGTAAATTCTATGATAGTACTCAATTCAAGCTTATAGAAATTAAAGTGTAAATATCAACGTTATAAAATTAAGTAAAACTACTCAACTTTTCTGATACTGGTGTTCCCATCATACACTGGGCCTTGAATAATTAATGAGGTTGATTTTTCGCTGTTTTCCAGCTGTATTTACACTGCTGTATCACAGCTTTTGTTGTTATTTTTAGTAACTTGCCATTTTGTGACATTTGGAATTCATTTTCTACTCAAAATGACACATTTATACTCGAAAACGATCCATCGAATATTACCATCATTGTGTAGTATTGAGATCTTTGTGTTCAGGTGCCGGATTACCTCTTATATGTAGATATGGTGTCTAAATATCTATTGTTTTATTTACTTCGATGTTTTTCTAAGTAAAGCATACACTTTAAAAGCATGGTTTAATTAAGTGTTATATTGTTAGAGTAAAATGTATTTCAAAGGAAACTTCAACTAAGTAGAAATTACTCAACTTTTACTGGCCAAGTTAAAATTACTTATTTTCTTTGTTAATTTTACTTAACTTAAGTAGATTTTACTTAATTCCAGTTTACTTAAAAATATGCGTGCAAAAACTTGAAAAACTATATATATTTTTTTCCAGTGTTTTTTTGAGACAAAGCTACCACAAACAAATGGAGGCAGAAAGTTATTTGAGTGCAGTTTGTTAAAGTCAGCATGAAACAGAAGTTGTTGGATTTTGTCCATTGGAAACTAATTAGATGGTTTGTGGTTTGCTATTGCTACGATCTCATGTGATTGACAGGTTGCTCTGCCTTCGTGCCAGTAAACACGTCATAGAAGAGATGAGATGTTGCTGCAAAAGGGAGGGGAAGTTATTTTAATTAAAGATTATGAGGGCACATGAAATTAAAATATATATTTATTATTTGCGAGGAAATATTATTTATTATAAATACTACAACAAACCATAAAAAAAACAAGAATTGTCCATATTGAGTCCATGGTGACCTTAAACATTCCAGCAGCTCACTGACGCAAAGTCTTAAAGTGTTTTTAAAAAAGATGTGACATGTTCCTCTTGTCATTATTGTCAAGCAACTCGGCTCTGGTACATCATCTTTTAACACACTTCCTGTGAAATGTTATGGTTAATCTCACAAACCACAACGTTCATTTCTCTCACGACAAAAGTACAATATAGTGCAAAAAATAACATGAAGTTTGGAGAACAAAAAACACTGTGGTTGGTGAGATCGCTAGAGCAAAAACACATTCAGCAAAACAAAATAAAACATCTGAGACTGATAATTTATTTAAAATATTTGCATCCTCAAAATAAAAGTTTGTTTATAAATCAAGACTTCTTGTTTAGAAAATGGTGAATATGTTTATGGTTTTGAAACACATGTATTATGTATAATGGCATTTTGTTGATATAAATTAAGGAGACTTTGAACATATTATGCATGTTAAGTTAACTATATTGCATTGATACACTACAGACCAGATAATTATATTCATAAGTATATAGGTCACATTGACATACACTACCGTTTAAAGGTTTGGGGTCAATACGATTTTTTTATGCTTTTGAAAGAGGTCTCTTATCTTCACAAAGCCTGCATTTATTTGTCACATGATTCTTCAGAAATCATTCTAATTTGCTGATCTAAAAACATTTCCTATTATCATCCATGATGGTTGTGCTGCTTAAAATATTTGTGGAACCCATGATAAAAAAAATAAAAAAAAAGTACACTTGTAGTAGATCATTAATCTATAAATAAGTACATCTATATAAATGTTCCAGTTTATCTACTGGACACTGCTAACCTGAAAACGTACTGTTACCTTTTTGCACCAAGCATCATTTTGGCCTCTTGATCAATATTGCAGGGTTCCAGACTGCGACCAAATTGGTCGCATATGCGACCATTTTTTGAGAATGTGCGAGTTAAAATGTTATGTGGTCGCATTTGTGCGAGTGGACGCTTGAGCAACAGAACGCCGTTGTATCAGCTGCTGCAGTCCGTAACTTATGTTCAAAATGAACGAGTAGGCTACATCATGAATCCATTTTCCAAACCGTGTTTTTGACTTATTCTGA